GCTTAAGCTCATGCATTTTACATGTTTTTCGGGATTCTCCATGACATTATTTCACTCGCACACTTTTGTGATATTTTAGGGACTTTTGGAGGTGGGATCTCTCTTGATGAGGTGGATAAAAGATGTGGACAAGATTTCAGGACTTGCGGAGCATCGAGGATGAAGATATTGAAGAATTGAAGATTTTGGCAATTCAGGGAATTACGCAGGTCGTGTAAACTATAACCTTGAGTTTACACGGGCTGTGTAATCGAGCATACTTCAGCAACGTACTTTGAAGACCCAACCAATCTGAGCAGTCTACTTTTGCAATTACACGGGCCGTGTAAACGACAATATTAATTTACGCGGGCCGTGTAAACGTGGACGTGGGTTAAAAAACAGTTTTTCATCTTTCTTAAAAGGGTGCAACCGAATTCATTTTCTGGTCTGTCGATTTTGGGAGCTTTCTGGGCGATTTTCTAAAGGAGTTTGGAGTTGATTAACAGTTGGAAACATTTGGATTTCATTTTGTAAGAACTTTAATTTCCTTTTCTAGATTTGTGTTCTTGTTCTATTCATGTGTGGCTAGAACCCTAGATTCTCCAACTTTATGTCTTGACTTTTAGTTGTGATTTCAATCATGTGATTTGATGTTTGTTTCTAATTTCTATCTAGTGAATTTGAATTCGTTTCAATCGAATGTTTGATTTTAATTTTAATTCTTATTGGCCATTTGAATTAGGGTTAAATCATTCAAGTTATCTATTTTGCAAAATACGTAATTGTTTTGTGAAATAGAGCAAGTAACAAGCACTAAATTGAATTCTTTAGAATAAATCTAGTGTAAGTCATATTCACACATTCATATGCCCCCGAGCTTGTGAGGAGTATTGAATGTTGTTGGGAACATTCACATAAATTTTATTGCAACCTTTTGATTTATATCTAAGAGCTTGTTTAGACTTAAATTAGAAGGTTAGGTTATTTTCAGAGAGCTTGTTTTGAATTTGACATTGTGGTGAATGAGAAGTGTTTGAGCTTGTTAGCACTTCTAAGTACCAACTTAGATAAAATCGAACAAATATCATTTCATCCATGGAATCACATTGCTAAATGTCTTGCATAGAGTTGGAGTCCTTACAAATCTTGAATTTGTTTTATTTAATTGATTATTTACTTATTGATTTAGTCTCTTGTTTAAATCATTTCATATACCCCCCCCCACTTCTGTGACCATATTTGTACCTTACGCAAAAAGGTATAAGCACATGTTCCGTGTCTCTATAGATTGACCCTGTTTACGTTGTATTACATATTTTTTAGTGCAAAGTAATAGTGTTTTTGGAGTCATTTTGTAACCATTTATTTGTTGGGTTTGACACTCCTAACAATAGACCACCCCGATCACACATAAAAATAATTTTTGAAACATATCCACTTCCTTTTGTCTTTGTTCTTTTAACAACAACCACATATCATAGAAATCGTGCCATTTCTTGCACCAAATCGGTTAAATTTTCACGATTACTAAAGACCTAACAAATATAAATATATAATTGGCCAGATAAAAAAAATCCACTAAAAATATAACATACAACAACTTACGAATAGACTAAAATTATCCATAAAAAATACATACTAGGTTAGTTTGAAAACTTGCCATAAGAATGACGATCGACAATTTCGTGAATATTGTTATGAATTGAACAAATATTGAATTGAATTTAATCAAACGAATCTTTTATATAATGTATAAAGTTAAAATTATATCAAATCAGTTTTTTTATTATTAAAGAAAAAGATAAAGATTTTTCGAATCAAATCAAAGCCTTTGGCTTTAAATCTATTATCCACGGTACTTACTTTTTTATATGTTTTTCTTTTCACTTTTGTGTTTTGTGTTATGTAGATAATATTAATGTACGAATAGTAAGTTTTAATTTTTAATAATAATAATAATAATAAGTTTTATTTTTTTAATAATAAGAATAATATAATAAATAAAAGAAAAAAAAACAATAAAAAACATAAGGGATGTCACATCAAAAAATAAATATCTGATTAGATTGAGTTTAGGGATAAAAAAAGGAAAATGGATAATTATAGCAGTCCTTTAAAAATAAAGTATATTTATTGAAGCTTTCAAAGCCCATAGGTATAAATAAATGATGAGATGCTCAATTCCTGGATCTGCAGACCGTATCTATCTAATCAGGCGCCAAACAAAAAGAAAGATGAGAAACAATCAAACAACAGACGAAGAGGAGTACGTAGATATCGGAAAATTGATGTTTATGCTGATGAATTGCCGTTCTTCACGCTGATTGGCATCGGTCGGAGCTTTCAACGGTAACAAAAAGAAAAAAAAAAATCTTTAGCTGCGTTTTGCTTGCATCTCCTCTCCTCTCCTCTCTAATCTGTTAATCTGTATCCAGTATTTCACTTCTAAATTTCTGATTTCTGTGGAGAGATATCAAGGGAGGAGGACGATTGTCGATTGCCTGCCCTTTGGCTTCGAAATTCAAACCTCAACTACGTTTTCCCCCACTTTCCCTTTGGCTTTGTCGATTTATCGCCCCTTTAGTTTTGGATACAATTGTCGATTGCTGTTTTCCTGCAATCGACAAATCCACAATCCGTAATATTCACTTTTGAATTTGATTGTTCTGTGAATTATTATTTTTTGTTTTGGGATGAATTTGATGTTTTTTGTTATTATTATGTTCTGTTTTGTTTCTTTTTCAATTTTCAGATCATCAATCACTCTACATGCATGATATAATTATAATTATGGCAGTGTTTGTACGCTTGATTTGTCTTGTAAATTAGTTAAATAAACGCAATTTTATTGTCAACACAGGCTGCAGCTTTAGCTATGGATGAATCAATCTTATCTGATGATCAAGTAGAAAATCTTATCAAATTTTGTCCTACTAAACAAGAAATGGAGCTTCTCATGGTGAAAACATCACTTCATACTTATATTTATTTATGTAGTGACAAAGTTGCAGTTTTCATTCATGTATTCATCTTCTTCATTGCAAGTTTTCAGAATTATAGAGGCGACAGGGAGATGCTGCACAAATGTGAACAGGTTGGTAGCCACATCATCTATTATTTCTATCTTCTTTCCATGCAACTTTAAATTCTCATAATTTTTTACAATTTTATCTCCCAGTTCTTCATGGAGCTCATAAAGGTGCCACGTGTCGGATCAAAATTACGAGGTTGTCTGTCCAAAATTCAATTTGACATCCAGGTATCTTCTTTTATGTTACAACTAATCACATATTTCTTTTTATATATTATTATTATTATCATCTCATTTTGACATTTCTTTCAGCTGTCTGAGGTTAAGAACAGTTTAAACACTGTAAATTTTGCATGTCATAAATTTGGGGATACATTAAATCAAGGAACTACAAAATGTAAGAAAATCAGCCTTAATGGTTAATTCATATCGAGTTTTATATATTTATTCAAAGAAAAACCTTCATTTTTACTTATTATATATTTTTTTCAGTTTCTGCAGTTGGTTTCAAGTTAGAAAGTCTTTTGAAACCACCACCACCACCACCACCTCAACCTCCAGGGCCACCATCTCCACCACTTTATGCTGCATGCAAACCTCCACCCCCACCTCTTCCTCTGCCACCACCAACCCATAGACCACCACCCCCACCCCCTCCACTTCCTTCTTCGAAGCCGTCTCTACCTCCCCCACGTCCGTTCCTAGGACCACCACCTCCTCCACAACCACAAAATCCGATGTGGGCACGACGGCGTCCACCACTTCCACGTAGAGGCCGTGCACCTGTACCACCACCATCACCATCACCACCACCACCACCACCACCACTTCCACCACCACGAGCATCTACACACCCTCCTGAAATGTCTGCAGCACCTCAAAGATCTATGTTAATGCCACTCCATTGGATCAAGCTATTCAGGGCTTCACAAGGTTCTTTGTGGGAAGAATTGCAAACACCTGGAGACCTCCAAAGGTATTATTACATCTACACCCAAAGTTTTAGATTAAATTACAGAAATGGTCCCTTTGTTCTACAAAAACCAGCAGTTTCAGTCCAAAAGAATTTTTTTTGTAACCATTCTGTCCTTAGGTATGACAGTTGTTATGGTTTTGATCCCTGATCAATGAACAAATGACATCTTTTTTTTACCTTTTGTAAACCCTAGGGACCAATTCTGTAATTTACTCCAAAGTTTTAGATATTCTTCTGATATGTTTTTGATTTATTATGTTGTTATTGAATAGGAGTGCAGTAGAAATTGATATGTCAGAACTCGAGGCAATGTTCTCTCTCTCACCCATAAACCCTAAGAAAGATACTTTTAAAGCTGAAAAACTCCACTTGGTAATTAATCAATTAAATAAATGACATTGTTTATAAATGCTCTTAATTTGTCTGATGAATAAGTTCAATAAAAGCCAATTTTATTTTGCAGCTACAAGCTGCAGCTTTAGCTATGGATAAATCAATCTTTGATGCTGATCAAATACAGAATCTTATCAAATTTTGCCCTACTAAACAAGAAATGGAGCTTCTCAAGGTGAAAATATTACTTCATACTTCATACATACATATATATTTATTTATTTATGGGATAAAAAAAAAAGTTGCAGTTTTGATACTTCCATTTTTGTATTGATCTTCTTCATTGCAACTTTTCAGAATTATACAGGTGACAAGGATCTGCTGGAAAAATGTAATCAGGTTGGTTGCCACATCATCGATTATTTCTGTCGTTTTATACAACTTTAAATTCTCAATTTTTATTTTTGTTTTTTTATTTTTTTTTATCTCCCAGTTCTTGCTAAAGCTCATGAAGGTGCCACATGTCGGATCAAAATTACGAGTTTTTCGATTAAAAATTCAATTTGACACCCAGGTATCTTCTTTTATGTTATGCTAATCACATTTTTCTTTTTATATATTATTAACTTATTATCACATTTCTTTCAGCTTTCTGAGTTTAAGAAGAGTTTAAACACTGTAAATTCTGCATGTAATGAGATCAAGACTTGTGTAAAATTGAAGGAGATCATGAAAAGAAATATGTATTTAGGGAATACATTAAATCAAGAAACTGCAAAAGGTTAAAAAAAAAAATCAGCCTTTTTGGTTAATTCATATCGAGTTTTTTTATACATTTATTCAAAAAAAAAAATTTATACAAATTTTTCAGGTGATGCAGTTGGTTTTAAGTTAGACAGTCTTTTAAAACTCTCAGATACAATCTCTTCAAACAACAAAATCACTTTAATGCATTACATCTGCAAGGTACAACTCCCTTTTGCTATTTATATAGATTTGGTACAAGTCCCTTTTGCATAAAATTTTCAAGGTTTTTACAGGTTCTTGCCTCCAAAGCACCTTCCCTTATAGATTTCCATTTGGATCTTGTTAGTCTTGAGTCTGCAAATAAGGTTTTTCACACTTTTCAACCTATTTTCACAAAATTTGATTTTTTTTTTAAAGAAATTGATAAAATGAAAGGCCTTTTTTTTTTTTTTTTCTTGCAGATACAATTTAAGTCATTAACAGAAGAAATGAATGCCATTTGTAAGGGACTGGAAAGGTTTAAGAAGGAAACATCTGCATCTGCAAATGATGTCCCTGTCTTTGAAGTTTTTCATAAGGTAAGTAAGTATACAGACATATTTTTTATGCAATTTCTTTTAATTTTTTATTATTCTTATAATTTTGTATATTATAATAATAATACTATTGGTTCCATTTGTTAGAAAGTGAATGAGATCATCAGCTTTGCTGAATCAGAAGTGGCATCTGTAACAAATTTGTACTATGATGTGGTAAGAATCAAGAATCAAGAATCAAGATTCAAGAACAACCCTTTTGATTAAAGGACAGATTTGGTAATTTGTATTATATAATCAAGTTGGAGTTTATTATTTTTGTGTTGCAGGGTGGAAATGCTAATGAAATGGCTTTATATATTAGTGAAGCATTTGGTGAAGACACTGCTTGTTCTTTTGAACATGGTAAACACATTTATTTTTTTGTAAACACATTCAATATAAACTTCAAGAACATTACGAATAACTTCAAACAATATTCTATAACTATTATACGGTTTTATATTATATGTTGTATTTTGTAAAAAAAAAATATCAAATATCATTTTTTTGAAAGTATGTTACCTTTTATTTTGTTGTGCAGTTATAGAGAGCCTTGTGAAGTTTGTGAGGGTGTTTAGAAAAGCTCATGAAGAAAACTGTAAACAGGCTGAACTAGAAAAGATAAAAGCTCAAAAAGAGATTGAAATGGAGAAGGCAATGGGTTTTAACTTAACATAAAAATCTTCTCTTTTTGGTTCTCCATAGTCACAAAGTCAAAGGGTGTTGACCGAATAACCACCTGAAAAGGGTATGGTAGTCAATGCACTGTAATTACATACATACATACATACATATGATGTTTCAGTGTTTTTAAGGTGGTTTGAAGAAGCTGATCTGACCTTAAATACTAGTTTCACTTGACAATTTTAACAATGTATATTATAGTGTCATTATTAACCAT